GGCCAAACTTGGGGCGGCCAAGGGAAATTGGGCCGACGATCTCCCTGAAGTCCTATGGGTATACAGGACAACTCCGAGAACTTCTACCTCAGAAACGCCCTTTTCGCTAGCCTATGGCTGCGAAGCAATGATTCCTGTGGAGGTAGGAACCGGTTCTCTTCGGAAGGACTTGTACGATGAGGTTGAAAACGAAGCACTTATGAGAGCGAGTCTGGATCTTGTTAAAGAACACCGCAGCAAGGCTTCACTAAGGATAGCAGCCTACCAGCAACGCGCGAAGAGGTTCTTCGATTCAAAGGTCAAGCGAAGAGACTTCCAGGTCGGTGACCTTGTGCTAAAAGAAGTTCTCCTCGGAACCAGGGAGCCAAGTGCAGGGGTACTAGGACAGAACTGGGAAGGTCCATACCGGGTTGACAAGGTGATCAGACCGGGGACTTGCCATCTCAAAAGGCTGAACGGTTCCAAAGTACCCCGAGCTTGGAATGCTGAGCACCTCCGGCCATACTATCAGTAATCCTGAACTCGACTCTCATTGAAATTTAGCTTTTGATTTTGTTAGTTTCCTTTTTACTTTTAAAATATTATTCTATTCGCTTGTAACAGTTCGCATGTAATATTGCCTATGTAAATAAACTGAATTGTAAACTGCATTCATGTATGATTAAGCGAACAACAATTGAAAACAAAATGTATTTCATTTATGTACAACAAAAACAGTTGGCCCTACTAACTCATATTGGGTCAGCCTCGTCGCGCTAGGCCTGGTCGGTGGGGGGTTTCTTCGAGGCAGAACCCGAACCCTCCACTTGGTCGGATCCTTGGGCGGCCGCTGCTTTATCATCTTCCATCGCCAAAGCCTGCAAGGCTTCCTGCCACTCCTCCGGGAGGTCAGACATATCCAAATTTGGGTTCTTGGGTCACAGGGCATAGATGGACCGGATCGCCCAGTCAACGGCCTTATCCTCGACCTCCTCCGACTGGTCCCGCATTTCTTCGGTCAGGTAGGCAACCTTTCCCTAACTCTCCTAGAGCTCGGCCTCAAGAGCTAGCCTTCTCTTTTCGGAGGCCTCAATTTCTTGTTCGGCTCGCTGAGCCCTCATTAAGGTCGTCTGGAGCTCCTAGTCTTTCTCTCCGACCTCCTTGGAGAGTCTAGCGGTTGTCTTCTGAAGCTTTTTTACTTCCTCCACGTGTCACTCAAGCTCTATCTTTTAGAAGTCTACAGTACGCATAGTGGCCGTCTTTTGGTTCAGGTATCTGTTCGCTGCCTCAGCGGACAACGCTCTTTCTGCTTCGACGTCTTCCAGGCTCTGTTTGAGCTTCGCGATCTCCTCTTTCAGATTTTCCCCCTTCATGGTTCCCAGCCGAGCCTTCTCCAGGGACATTCTCATGGCGAGGTCAAGTTGCAAGGTTGTTGGGATATCCACCGCAGCATTTTGTGGAACTGGAAGTATCTTGGGAGAGGTATCCCCCTGGGTTAGGGGAACTCCCTCAGCACGCTAGTTGGCTTGCTCAGGTTTAGATTAGCGGGCCATTTGTTTTTGTAGGACCAGTAGGTTAGAGATTCGCCTGATAAAGGATGAACACTAAATATGCCCTTCCTTCTAGCGCCAAACTATTGATGCGTGATTTTGATACCAACTAATCGACACGTGCGTAATGTTGGTTGGTCAAGAGACACACGTGAGTATGGATAAAGTGCGTAGTAAATGTAGTAGTGAGAGATTTTTAAAGTGGTTCGGATGCTAAGATAGCAAGCCCTACGTCCACTGATAATTGTATTAATATGGTGGGTCAGGTCGCAACAACAGACTGACTTACAAATGATTAGCGAAAAGTAAATGCAAAGATGCAAGAGAGAGAGAGAGAGAGAGATAACTAATTCAGAGTGTAAAATGGCCGAATCCCCTCAATGAAGGGGTCTTCTCCTTTTTATAGTGAGATGAGCGCGAGTAATCATCATTAAATCTGTGGGTTAGTGTGAATGTCAGAATGAAATCCGGCTTTATATCACATTGCCCACCTTCCAAAATTCAAACTGATTTCACGCGATTTGGAGCAGGGAATGGACACGTGGGATCTCCACAGCGTCTGGCAGGCCTGGCGCGTGCTTACCGTTTTGATAGGAGCAGGTCACACCCCATCACGTGAGTTTCCACGTTAGCCCTTGATTTCCCAAGCATAACACACACCTTTTCAAAACATGAGTTTATAGTCACAATCACAAATATTTTGCAGTAAGGGAGCAAATCTGGCAAGTGGCAGAATTTTTCTTCTGTAGTTTGAATATGAAAATGCCATTTTCATTTTGAACTCAATTAAGTTTTGCAGTCTCTCTAAATTGGATGTGGTTCTTAATAAGTGGACATGGAAGATTTTGACTGTCATCTCCACAACGCATAATGAACTCGTTCAAGTAGATGAAAGCAGAAATTAATCCAGGTTTGGATGCTCTTATCAGCTTCGTAAACTATTAATATTCCAGAAGCATGAAAAACCACTATGGATAAATTGGTAAAACCAATACCGTATCGTCTCTTAACAAGCATGCCGTTAAAGAATAAGAATCCTTCAGCTAAAATATCATCACCACCATTATTATTCCTTTGTAAGTGGTGGCAATTTTTGTGGACTAACAATTTCGCTTCTTCCTTCCCAATCACACTCTTTCAAGAGAATTCTACTAACTTCTTCCAATGAGGAATCAGATAACGCAGTGCTATTAGTAAGGAACAATACCAATATTGACCAAGCTATAGTGCTTAATTATTACTACAAATTAAACGAGACTACAAGACATATACACAAACAAGTATACAGTAATATAATACATTCTCGATGTTTTCCATAGCCGGAAACCAAAAACAAATCATACCAACCTATTGACATCTATTAGAACAATAAAAGACTTGCAATAGGCAAACTAGAAATAAAAAATTCGAGGGGGGATTTATCTCAACGGGCAAAATTCTTTGAACAGAAGGTGACAATGCAATCAGAATTGCGAATATCAGAGCAATGAAGGAAGAAAAAAACACACACATATATAGAGAGAGCTTGAATCTACAAATGCGCCAAAGATATTAGAAAATGTCTGATTCCCAGCCCAGCAACAAGCTAAAATATTCAACAAAGAAGGGAATTAGTTTCCACAGTTGTTTAGGAATAATACCCTTGATGCCTCATGAGCACCTTACTCTTTGCTTTTTCTCCCGTATTTGATGATGTATGAAAACAAGAACTTGAAGAATAAAAAGTCTTCTTCATGCATCTTGAATAGAATTAGACCACTAATTGTAATACACGGAAACTTCGATTATTCTATCTGCTGTCTGCAGTTCCACCTGGGTGTAAATAAGCTCTTTTAAACACCTACACACAATACATTTAGCAGACTTTTCCGCAGATCCTCCGCAATACAGGAGTAAGTAGTAACAAACAGGAAAATTACATTTCATTCATTTTTCAATTAGCAATTCATCTTTTTTAACTATTATTTTTATTTTATATTAGTAAGGATATTGTTATGCCTAAATGATATACTTACGTCATCTCCACCAATCAAGACTCAGCAGACTTCTCCACCAATTAAGATTCAGTAGACTTCTCCACCAATTAGATCTCAGCATGCATCTCCACCGACCAAGATTCATCAAGCACTTAAAGACAAAACTATATTAGCTGCTTAATACTTAAACCGACTTAGAAGGATATTTTGTACAAACAATTACCGTAATTTCATTAAATTTAAGAATATGGATGAAAGCTCTCAACAAATCAGAATGAAGGAAGATTTTGACCAAATGGAGACAACTTGTAAAAACACTCATTACATTGAGCTAAAAAGAATATAAATAGACAGCTCTTCTCCTCAAAACAAAGATTAATCACACACTTATTTTACAGCAAAAATAGCAAAGACACACTACTAAAAAGAGACTGACTCGTCATTCTCTTAGAACACTTCAAGTCATGCAACCTTGAAAGATTTCTCTCTTTGTATTCTTCAGCAACGATCATCGAGAAAAATATAAATACAATCACAGTGGACGTAAGACTTGCTCATAGCATCCGAATCACTCTAAAAATCTCTCTTGTCGACTTTTTATTTATGTACTAACAAGCAAATATCATTGCTACATCATAAACACTCTTCATAATTATCTCACATGTAACTTTATAACACTTTGCACATGCATGGTCGTTGATGTCAAAATCAAGCATCAACATGTATTTTCTGCAATATATGACGCATATTCTGGAATGGGTCAGACCTGACTTCACAATTGTAGCAAAAGGTATCTTCCATTACTTGTAAAACTGCAGCAGAAATTAATTATCTCCAACAATTCAAGGATTTAGCACAGGAATAAGTTTAAAAATTGAATAAACCCTAAAGGTTGCATTGGCCATTGGGTTTAGTGGTGCAACAATTCAAGAATTTAGCACAGGGATAAGTTTGAAAATTGAAAGGTCGCATTGGGGTGCTTGCAACTAAGAAATCAGAGATCCAGTGAAAACAGTTTCATATTATCAAAAACTTGCACCACTAATGAAGCTAAAACTTATACTATAAATATTAAGATCACACAACATTATACCAAATTCAACCAAAATTATTAGAGCAATTTTTATTCAGTTGCAGAACACCTTTAGCTGCAGTTACTGGGTGACCATCTATGCTTACCCCAAATTATAGATAGATTAAGCAAGAAGGCCAGCAGTCATTCTGACTTACCTTGAACCATCTCCGGTAAGTTATAACAATGGTAAATAATTACAGATACCTAACTTACCTTGAACCATTCAAATCCTACTTCTAGCACCATTCTTTATTATCAGAGAGGAATACAAAAAACTCTTCTGACTTAAATATACCCTCTCTTTTTTTTTTTTTTTTTTTTTAATTTTATTTTATTTTATAATCCTAATGAAGAGAGGAACAAAGAAAAGTCTTCAATCCTGATTTTGCCAGAATAATTAGGAAGAAAGTTTAACCATGTAGTATATAATATATTGCTTGCAACAAAGAGATCACGGGTTTAACCTAAACCCCTAACCTAACCTGATTCCGGTAAAACAGTTTCATATCCAATATTATCAAAAACTTGCACCACTCATGAAGCTAAAACCCATACTACAAATATTAAGATCACACATTATACCAAATTTAACCAAATCACAGGAGCATTTTTTTATTCAGTTGCAGAACACCATTAGCTGCAGTTGCTGGGTGAGCATCCATGTTGGCCCCAAATTATATATAGATTAAGCAGGAAGGGTCAGCAATCATAGTCCAATACCACTAGTATACATAGCCTCCAAAATTATTAAGTTTGTCTTTCATGAGGACTATACTAAAATACTGAAGAAAATGAAAATATTTTTTTGCCACATTAATGAGAGAAAGTATAATCAAGGTGAAAATTCCAGGCATTGAAATAACTGTAAAATGTTGATGAATGGATTAATATCTATTAACCTTGAACATCTACTAGATAAATTACAAAGCAAGAGCAGAACCGCCAAAATGCACTGCCTATAGTTGAGCCCAGCTACCTAGCACAGCAGGTTCCCTTCCCAAAGTACCCAAGAAAGTGAACCAGGAAGCCCTTCCCAGTTATCTAAATGACAAAATATTTTCCTCGTAATTTGTGAAACTAATGATATTAGAGAATAAATCATTATGCTTATACTCAGGAAGCCCGGATGTTTCAACTTTCCTTGAACTGTTTGTCTTAGTATCATAATAAACAACAAAAAGGTGACTTGATAAAATCTGCGGTACCAGTAAGACCTCGCCTGTAGGGACAGTACCCGCAACAATGTACTTCTGCTCCCCTTGTAATCCCTTCCAATTCAAAGGTAACACAAAAGTATGCTTAACCCATACCTCATTAAAACAATCCTGCAATATCCAAACACTTACACGTTTATTATCAGTTTGATAATTAACCATACCCGGCCGCCCTCCAAACACAATCAAATCAGACTTATATCCATCTTGTGGAGCCCGTTCAGGCAATGTAATCACCCTAAAACTCTCAGTTTGCAAATCAAACGCCACCAAAACACTTCCATTCACACTACACATAACAGTACAACTCCTTAAATACACAACCCCATCAACACAAATGCTTTGGCGTTGAGGATAGTAAGGCGGCCCACCGTTAACCAGCCTCCATGAATTAGTCCCCAATGTGAAAACCCTATACTCAGTCTCTCTACCAGGAATACCCCACGAATTCAAAACCTTGTATCGCTTACTAACAGGGTCAAAACCAAATGAATTAACACAATAATAGGTTGAATTTACCAACGGAGACTTTAACGAACAAATTAAAGGAACATCAACCGCTTGCCTCATACTAGGATTACATATAGTGGCGCAAAGGCCAAAATCCATACAAACTAAACCGTTAACAGAGTGGGTGAAGTAACGAGAGAAGCCAGGAGAGACAGTGAGGAGATCAACGGCAGTTCCGCCGTCAAAGTCAAGGGAGAAAAACCGCTGGCCCGTTTGGAGTGTGGTGGGGCAGGTGATGAGCAAGCCGAGGGGTTTGAATGGAAAATGAATTGCATGTAAATTTGGAAAAGATGCATTGGTAATGATGGAGTAACAGAACTTGGAAACACACCTGAATCGAATCAGAGATTTGAAGGGGAGTCTTGCGAAAATGTCGAAAATTATATCGGGAGGAATTGATTTTGATGATGACGATGATGCTAAATGTCGGCGTTTCTTCATCACTGAGACACTGAATTTTCAATTAAAAAAACCCTATTTTTGATTGTGAAGAATGTCGAAGTTGGAAACTGTGTTCCATGGTGTTTTCTTGAGTAAAGTTGTTGTCTTTGGTAAGTAGAGTTGTCACACGAACGGGATTGGGCAAAGAGTTTCAAGTGACTTCGGCGTTTGAAAGTCTGAAACAAAGATGAATGGGTGGTTTTGTGGAGTAATGTTGTTCATATAATATTTTTATATATTATGACGTAATAAAAGATAATTAAATGCAAGTTTTTTTAATTTAAAATTAATCAATTAATTTTTTATTATATCATATTATATAAAAAATATTGTATATATTATATTATGTCCAAAACAAAGCTATTTGGAATCAGCAACTTGCTCGTGAAGTTAGTTGTTTTCAGAGTTGTTATACCGGAGATACCATATAAGATTAAGAACATTTATTTAAAGTTTGTAATGAGTTATTATATAATATAAAATTATTTTTATCATATATATTTTAATATTTAAAATTTAACATTCAAAAATTTTGAGAGGATTTTGTTATTATATTATACCTCACACCTATTATGTGACTTAACAGCTTATTACCCTCCTTCTAATTTTCATTTTTTTAAATAAACATTTTTTCCATGTCTTATACAATTAAGAGAAAAGCCAGATTTATAATAAATTAAAATATATAAAATTATAAAATAAATAATTTTACTAGCTTGGCACAGAGAAAAATGGTATCGTTACTACTCAATTAATAACTTTATTATTTATATTTTGTCATATCATTAATAAAAAGATTGAAGAATATATATNATGAGATTAAGAACATTTATTTAAAGTTTGCAATGAGTTATATTATAAAATTATTTTTATCATATATATTTTAATATTTAAAATTTAACATTCAAAAATTTTGAGAGGATTTTGTTATTATATTATACCTCACACCTATTATGTGACTTAACAGCTTATTACCCTCCTTCTAATTTTCATTTTTTTATATAAACATTTTTTCCATGTCTTATACAATTAAGAGAAAAGCCAGATTTATAATAAATTAAAATATATAAAATTATAAAATAAATAATTTTACTAGCTTGGCACAGAGAAAAATGGTGTCGTTACTACTGAATTAATAACTTTATTATTTATATTTTGTCATATCATTAATAAAAAGATTGAAGAATATATATAAGTTTGTTTTATTTATTTATTTCCAGAAATACTATATATATACATATATATATATATAGAGAGAGAGAGAGAGAGAGAGAGAGAGAGAGAGAGAGAAAATACAAAATAAAAAATAATAATTTGGTGTAATATTAAAAAAAAAAATTGTCTTTCCGCATCATCTTCTCCAGACATGGTTATTAATAAAACCAGACAATCATATAAAGCCACGTGGTAAAGTCCATGACAACGTGTACGCAAAGACCAGAAGCTCTTGGGACAGCCCAACGCTTTCGGGTTCCCCAATTTTTCTCGTCCTATTTAAAACAAAAATAACAAAACCAGACACACTTTCTGAAAACCAAGAAAAAGAAATTATACTTTCAATGAATTCCCATACTAAAATGGCCGTTAATTCATCCACTCACTGCGCACTTCCTCTCAACCGTCCTCTTCTACGTCGTGTACCTCCTGCTTTCTTTATTCGGACCTCAACCAGACCAATTTTCTCCAACGGAGCTCCGAAACCGAGACTCGTTTCAGTCCGGGCCAGTAACGACGGGTTTGGATCCAAGAATTCGGTGAATTTGAAAAATTCCGAAGCTCAGGTTGGGGTTTCGAGTTCGTCTACGTCGTCGGCTGTTGATTTTCTGACATTGTGTAATCGTCTGAAGGTAAACCAACGGTTCACTTGCTGTTTGGTTTCAGAGAAAATGTAGGTTATTGTTGAAGTTTGTGTTTGTATGATTGTTGTAGACAACGAAAAGGAAAGGATGGATCAATCATGGGATAAAGGGTCCGGAATCAATTGCTGATCACATGTACCGCATGGCTTTGATGGCTTTGATCGCTGGTGACATTCCTGGCGTGGATAGAGAAAGGTTGGACTTTTACATAATTTGTTTATAAACTCACTTGATATGCCATTAGTTTAGCCTAGCAAAAATGCCATATATATTTTGATAATGAGTTGTGATTCTTTTGTATAAGAAATTTCACTTTGAGAGCTTAGGATAGTAGTTTAGACAATCAGGCGCTATTTTTCCAATATCTATGATTCTTTGATGATATTTACAATTTTGTTCACTTGATTTTATTTTCAGTTAATATTACCAGTTTGGTATTAGGTGTTTATTCGTTGGGTATGTAATAACATAAAATAAAAATTAATAAAAGTCAAGTCAACTAAGAGAATGAGGAAGGAATTCCAGGTAAGCGAATCACATAAAGATGATACTAATTACATCAGGGTCAGGGTCTATCATTCAATGTGGAAGAAATTAACACTGGGATAAGGGAGATCCTTGAGAAATACACAAAAAATTAGGCTCTTTCCTAATTAATATTAAAGATCAAAAACATGTGTTGTATTTGGTGATTTTATTATTATTATTAACATTTTGAAATTGGAGATGTGGTATCTATTTTTTTTTTATTAAAAAAGATGATTAACCAGTAAATTTATAAATGCTATGCCACTATAACTAGTCCAAGATTTTTTTGGATGCTATGTATTTACCAATTAAACTTTGTGATCTTATGTATGCATGTGTTGTATTTGGTGATTTTATTATTATTATTATTATTATTATTAATGTTTTGAAATTGGAGATGCAGGATCTAATTAGGAAAAAAAATTAGATCCTGCATCTCCAATTTCAAAACGTTAAACAATAATTAATCATCAAATGCAACATATGGGTTTGATCTTCAATATTTGATTAGAAAAGGGCCTAATTGTCATGTATTTCTCCAAGAACTCCCTTGTCCCGGTCTTAATTTCTTCCACTTTGAATGATGAGCCTTGGCTTTGATGTCATTGTTATTATACTTATTCTGTGATCTGCTGACCTGGACTTTCCTCCCCTATTCTCTTAGCTGATGTGACTTCGTTTAATGTTATTTTATGTTCCTACAGGATTTTATTGTGGTACTCTCTCAGTAACATTACCAGGCCAGGTAGGAATGATTACTAGTCGCATGGTACCATGTTGTAACTCATTCTGTTACAAATTTAATAATCCCATAACACCTTGTTTCAGTCCAGTTGCTGGGATTTAACATCCCAATAAATTGGCAATTCCTTTATTATTTCTGCTGTTGGTATTCTATAATCACTTGCCTTTTCATAATAGATATATATTAACACTTTTCTGTGTTCTTTCTGAACAGGTGTATTAAAATAGCAATTGTGCATGATATCGCGGAAGGTAGTATTTTCAACTCCTTTCAATTTTCTAATGTAGTTTTTTAATCCTTAGATTTATAAGATAAAATCTTACGTAAAGAGTGTTCAACTTTGTAATTTCTTATTTTTATATTTTTTAACTCTCAAAAGACATGGGCATTTTCCTTAGACTGGTTAAGGAATGCATAAACATTGAGTTTAAAAGGAGACATACATATAATACTGTACTATATGTGATTTTTTCATTACACTAGTGCTAATATCCATGGAATTTACAAGAGCTCCAGGTGGTTGAAGAAGGTTTACTCAGTATTATGTGGTATGCTAAATTTTCACTCCTACTTGTGGCCATAACTATTGTCGAATAGAAATTATTAGTGATATGATGAAGTCTGGAAATAGAAGGGTCCCTCTTTTGCATTCCATCTTCAGTGATGGAAAGGACAGAGAATTGCAGAGATATTTCTTAGAAAGGGAAATGGAGAAAGTCTTTGGTGGAGAAATATGCAGAGGCAAGGGTGGGCAGTTGACTTGTGGGGTAGACGTCAAAGGCGTAAGTTTATGAAGCAGTAGGAATGGCTGGGGTGACTTTGAAAGTTCTATAGCGAAGAATGTCATCTTGAGAGAATCGATGCTATAGAGAGGAACCTTTGGAAGTTGCCATTTACTCCAAATCATAAGAGAAATGGCATAGTTGGGTGGGGAAAAATTGGCTTTTGGATCTAAAGCAGTACAAGATTGGGAGTTGGAACCTGTGAAGTTTATTTCTCTATTTCTTTCGTGAATTCCTATATAATCTTTTCATTTTGTGAAGCATGAGTATCTGGTTTGGTTGAGGATATATTCTGATAATGACTTACTAGGAATGACTTTTCTTTTTTATTTATTTGAGATTAACAGTTTTCTGTGAGCATCTGTCCGTACATTCTCTTTGGAAGAGTGTTTGGCAAGTTGGGAAATTTGAAAATGCTTGTTTCTTTGATTTGGCTGCAGCTGATTCTCCAATTCTGACATATGGAAAAAACAAAAAAAGAACTGTAAAGAGGTAGCAACTTGTGCTTTCTTGTTGTTATCTCTGCAAAAGGGATAAAGAAACCTTTGATCATCTGATTCTTATCTGTCCTAATGTGACTGAGATTTGGTCCTTCGTTTTTCAAAGTTCTATGCCTCTCTGGTCCTGCCTAAGACGGTGTAAATTGTTGTAGGGAGCATAGCTTCTATTACGTGTCTGGAGTGTGATATTTATGGAACTCTTTTTCTTGGTTATTCTTTATTACTTATGGAAGTATTTTGGGACTTTTTACAATTTGTTTTGTTGGGACTTTCGGACATCTTTTACCTCTACTTTGGGTGTATACTTCCCATGTACAAGTCTTGCAACTCGTTTTTGATGTTTTCCTAATAAAATATATCATTTAGTGAAAAAACAAAAGAACTTAAAACTTATATCATTCATCTTATATTCATATAAACCAGCTTTGGCATAGGACTCATATGACATAGAATTTAAATCTATAATCTTTAAATCTATAATCAGCATGCCTTTGCCTTTATTTATAATTGTTACACCATAGAAGCGATTAAATGTCTGTAGTGTATGTTATCTGGATTATTCTTTGATGTTCCCTTGTTTGAGCTTGTAGATTTATTGTGGTATGTACGATTTTTGCTTTTAATGATTTTATTTATTGCTTGAATAATTTGTGGGCCAGAACTTTATCAATTGAAGTGATTGTAAATGTGTGAGTACTTATTGCTTCATTGCCTTTAGTACGTGCTATTCTGGTCATTTGATCATAATTTATGTAGACTTAGTTTAGAGATGATTTTTATGGTTTATGGTGAAAGGAACAAAGAGGACAGGTGTTTGATATGGAATTAAGACCCTTTGTTGTCATTAAGTTGATCATTTGAATCTTGTAGTGTTAGATTTTATCACATGCAACTGACATAAGGTAGCTACAAGAGCCAATTCTATTCAAATTTTCACTCTACTGAATTCAAAGTAGTTTGATAGTTTGAAGATGGTGTATGTGTCCATGCCTGTAGTTCTGGGGGTTTATCCAGCAACTTCTCCTTTTGTATTTGAAAATGATATTTTCAGCAGTAACATACCTTTCTGATTGTATGAATCTACTTTATCATATTTTGATTGAATTTGTGTGCCTTCTGCTTGAATTTTTATAGCTATTGTTGGAGATATAACACCATCTGATAATGTGCCTAAAGAAGTAAAGAGCAGAATGGAGCAGGCGGCTTTGGATGAAATGTGCAAAGTTCTTGGTGGCGGGATGAGGGGTACTGCCAATCTTTTGATCATTGGATTGTTTAAATACTTTAATTTTGGTATTGATATTGTTGAATCGACTATTTGCCATGTGCAGCTGAAGAGATCAGAGAACTTTGGGCAGAATATGAAAATAATGCTTCCATAGAAGCTAATCTTGTGAAAGATTTTGACAAAGTATGTTCATGCTTTATTCACAGTCAATGTTGAATTTTATAATTGGATTATTTCTTAGAGTTAGAAAAACATTGCCCAATGAGAATATATCTCAGTAATGCCAATGATATATCATATTTTTTTTCTGAAGTTCTCTTTCAGTAGTTATGTAATTTTATGGTGAGAATTGATGACCTTGAATTTACCAACTCTTTTTTAAGCTTACAAAGTGCATCTCTTATGCACAAATGGTTTTAGTTAAATGTTTTATTTACTATTATCTATTATAAGCTGGTGTTGCACACTTGAAACTATTGATAACATTTTTCAGAGTATCAGCTAGTAGGAATTATCCTCCAGTCTGAAGTGCTACTAATTAAGTTGTAATATACCCTTTTCTGTTTGTTATTTTAATTAAATAGTTGTAAGCTTATGCAGTCAAGCCTGGATGGTCATTAACTTTATCTTGTTTAGCGTGTGAGCCTCAGCCAAGGGCAAGGCTTAGTATGTACTTTTAAAGTAAGAATTAATAAATAGATAATGCTTCTGTTTGGTATGGCAGAAGAGCTTTTTGCTAATAGATCATTTTTGTGGTTTTGTCTCATATTGTTTATAACCATTCCCAACTTACTATTGCAACATAACAGGATGATCTTGGCGTTTATTATATACTTGCATGTTTTTCTGTCTCTCTACTTCAGTGCTCTTTAAATAAGATTCTGAATGCCCTCAATGCAGGTTGAGATGATTCTGCAGGCACTGGAATATGAAATAGGTAACCCCTTTTTTTTCATAACATGAATTTTCTGCTTCTACTGTCTTACTCATTTGCTATAATGATATCATTGCAGAACATGGGAAGGTGCTAGATGAGTTTTTCCTTTCAACGGCAGGTAAACTTGAAATCAGTTTATAGATCTAAATATTGATGTTTCTTGGTTTTACTGTTGAGCTATTAAGTCCATGTTTTGTGTCATTATTTTCAGGAAAATTTCAGACAGAGATAGGAAAGAAATGGGCAGCTGAGATTAATCATAGAAGAAATTCAAGGTTGGCAAACAAACTTGAATAACGTCCTAGTTCGATTAGCTTTGTTTGTCATGTAAAACAAACCCTTTTTGAAGGGTTCATCATGGGATGGCGTGCCCTTTCATCCGGACATGCCCTCCTCTTTCATTTCCCTTTTTGTCTTTGGGTTGGATAACTACCAACAGTTAATCTGCAAGCAACCAAAAGGGGTTGCTATTAGCAAATGAATAACCATAGCATCAAACTCTTGTAATCGAGTCCAGCATAGAAGTTCTGTATCTAGGTGGTACCAAGGACAAGCATGCTGTAATTTTATGTACTGAAGCTGTCATCTTTTGAATATACAAGGAATTTTCAGTTTCCTAATGTAAAAGCTGGAAGAACTCTTTCTATCTTAAATTCTCTCAATATTCGATTGTTTGTGCATTCACAGTCAAATTTTATGAGCAGTTAGTTGAAAATAATGGAAGAGACACAAGAGTATATTTGGCTTTTAAGCAATATGAAAATGTGTTTTATGTGGATGGTTTATTGCTTTAAATAAAACATGCATGCAACTGTAGTGTTGAGTGGGTTTGATTTTCCTTTAGTAGCCCTGTTTTGAAGATGCATTTAATACCTTAAAAGCCCAAACCTTTTGTTCTAGTTAAAAGACAGGTGTGCTGAAACTACATTTGGTAAATCGTAAGCAACAAAACTTCAAACAAAATACTGTACATAGAATGAAATGGTAAAAATTAAAATGGAATCATCCCCAGCAACGTAAATTACAAAGATGCTAAAACATTTTAAGAAAACGTGTGGGTCAGCTCAATTTGTTGACCGCATGGCTGGTATAGAATTTATAATTCCATCGTCAACCACATATAATCCAGACTCCAGTAAATAAATGCACAACCCTTTCGGAGAAGGGAGCAGATGTTTTGGTAAGTCACATATGATTAATCTATATTTCCTCATACAGATTTTGATTATGTTGAACCAACCAACCATGGGAGGGTTGGTGGTGTTAATAAGTATAAGTTTGAGGGAGTCAAATGGAAGTACAGGGAAGCGTAGATCCAAATTACCAGCTGTTCTTTACCTTCCACCGACAACTCCATCTCTACAGCACATTAACTCTTTATTCTAAATTTAAATAATACAAGAAAAAGCGAAGATAAAGAAGAAGAAGAAAAAGTAAGTGGTCACATAGAGATAAAGCATTCCCATCACCATCATTCTATAGTCAATATATTTGATGATGATTCAAGTTGAATTCTCATCAAAATTATAGATAAACAGTAGCTGGGTCTGGGTGGATTGAACTTACTTGAAAACCCTAGCACTGAGTTGAGTCTTCACGTGTTTCAAAAATTATACACAAAGGCCCACCTACAAATAATTTGTCCATTCACCTTACATCTTCAAAAGTTTATACCCATAGTTGAATCTAAACCAACACAAAAGTTGTTATCTAACGTTACTACAATCCCGATAATCATTTCATTTACACTCCATCTTCAATTATCAAATCATCTGCTAACCCCCCATCAATCATGCTTGTTTCGACAGTGTTCTCTACATAAACAAGCAACAAACAAAAAAAAAAAATAATAAATAAATAAATAACTTTAAAAAATTCTGTAACAAAGATGCTTTCGGTTATCTTATGCATGCACATCCCAATATGTTTTAAATTCTAAATTCTCTGATATCCAAATTACTTTACTCTTTACGGGTCTTCTTGGAGAAGAATAATTATGCTATCCAAATCTTATCATGTTTTCTTAATCAAATCTACCCCATTATCATGTTTTTTTTTTTTTTTTTTTTTTTTTTTTTCTTTTCTTTTTTTGGTTCTAAGGTCAGGTATGAACATGCCGAACCGAATGAATATTAAATATTTGATTTTGGTAGTCATCAAAGAGGAATCATCTTATGCTTTGAGCTTGGCATTGCTGCTATCGACCACTAGATCTCCACCACATTAAAGAATTTTCTTTTTGTTTCTAACCTGACAACATTTTTATTAAAACAAAATGTATTAATACAAATATATACAAATGATAAGCTGGATTTTAGGGGATTAAATATTTCAGTCAAACATGGAGCTCCGCCTCCACGCAATAAGTCCAAAAAATATAAATAAAATTATTTATAGTATCAAACAAAAACAAAAAATGAGCATTTGGGTGAGGTGGGATTTCAATTTAAATATTCAGAGATTTCAAAAATATTTTATCATAAAAACTTAAGATGATATTTAATATCAACTTGATTGTGAAATATGGTTATAATAATGACATTTGCAAATCTTAAGAATATTATTAACTGGTTGATTAATAGTAATAATATTATTGGGAAATTTCGTGTAGCATCAAACCCTTATTATTTAAATGAGAAAATATAAGTGCAGACAATTTGAATTAGAAGAACAGAGCCTTTACGTTAAGTGATTTTATATTATAAAACAAATATTATTTAAATGTTTAATTACGTTGACGTTGCTATTAAGCAAAATCTAACTATCATGTAGCTTTTGAATCTTTTAATTATCATCAATATTTTAAACAAATTTTTATTTTTTTATTTTCTATTTTTGGTTATTCTTCAGAGGTCAGTGTCAATAGAGTTTGAGATTTGAGGCCCCACAATCCGTGTTCTTGAGTTGAGGTTTCTATGGAAAGAATAAAAAGATTAAGAGCTTCAAGAATCAATCACTTTGGCTCTTAAATTTGAAAATTTCCTATTATGACTTTGAAGAGGTGAACAAAATAGTTTTGATCAAGGAAGGTAAAGTCTTTGAGGATTTTAGCATATGGGTTGTTCTTTGGTGTTGTCACATTTGGTTCACTGAAGATTTTTAGCCCATCAGTGTTCACATGTGAACTCAGTTGTTGATATATTCAGTACATGTATCGGATTTTTTAGATTGATTTAACTTTATAATCGGTGATCTGGGTATTGTTCAAAACTGATTTGGGGTGTTCATTTGGCTTAAATTAAGAACTGATTGATGAATAAGCTGAATAGTGGTTAGGGTTTTCAGATAGGTTACTGTTTTTTGAAGTTGAAGGATGTTTGGTCATTTCTAGTTTTGATTGATGAAGTTCGCGTCTTGAATAATCTGTCAGTTAAAAGTTTGGAAATTTGGTTATGCCCATAAACTACTGAGTGGAGTTAAATTTTGATCAAATTTTGTTTTTCTTGTTTTTTGGCCTGGATTTATATTTTACTATTTGAGAATTTATGAAAGCTTTGGAGACTCTGGTATATGAATAAATTTTACCAGATAGTTGTTAGTTAGTGATCGTAAGATTTTGTTACTCAACTGATGGCAACAAATTCACCGTCTCCGAATTCATCTCCCACTGCTGTGCCACCTTCACCACCCTCCACTACTCCACCACCATCTAGCACTAGTCCACCACCGTCTAACACTAGTCCACCACCGTCTAACACTAGTCCACCACCATCATCACAGTCATCTTCTCCACCTCCTACAACCTCCTCACCTTCTGAGCCTAATGCAAATCCACCTGACCCCTCCACACCTTCTACTCCATCACCTCCTGCACAGCCACCTGTCTCACCACCACCTCCTCAAAATACGTCTCCACCCCCATTGCCATCTACACCTTCTCCTCCTCTTCCTCAACAAACCATTTCACCTACATCACCACCGCCACCATCTCCACCTGTATCTAATCCACCAACCAGTTCATCTCCACCACCACCACCACCAGTAGCATCCAATCCACCGACGAGTTCATCGTCCCCACCACCACCAGTATCTAATCCACCAAGGAGTTCACCTCCACCAGCACCAGTATCTAATCCACCAAGGAGTTCACCTCCACCACCACCAGTATCTAATCCACCAAGGAGTTCACCTCCACCATCACCAGTATCTACTCCACCAACGAATTCCCCTCCACCACCACGACCAGTGGCCAATCCACCAACAAGTCCACCTACACCATCAAATTCATCTTCATCACCACCATCTGATCCACCAAAAGCTTCACCTCCACCACCACCACAAACACCATCTACTCCACCAAATAGTTCGCCCCCACCACCACCATCATCAGTAAAGCCACCAGAAAGTTCTCCCCCGCCACCTCCATCAACTGTTTCACCTCAAAGCCCACCGCCATCACCATCATCCACCCCACCTACAAGTTCACCCCCTGCACCAGCAGTGCCTCCTAGTAATGCAGCTCCACCTTCCAATAAAACTCCTTCTCCACCTGCTTCGGGCGGAGCCCCATCTCCTTCAAATTCTTCTTCAAAGCTATCTCCACCCTCACCTTTAATAAGAATGTCACCACCTCCTCGTCAAACTCCAGTCTCACCAAATGTTAATGGTTCTAGTCCTATTTCCCCTGAAAGTTCCAATCCTTCAGGTAATGGCGGCATCAGTACCGTGGGTCTAGTGGCTATTGGCGTGGCTGTAGGACTCATAGCACTTACCCTCATTGGACTGGTTGTTTGGTGCCTGAGGAAGCGAAGGAAGGAGCCTTCTGCACTTCATAATGTTTACGTTGCACCATCCCCTCTGGGCTCTCCCCCCAAATCAGGTGAATTATTGATGCTCTGTACTATGCATGCTGTTTTTCTGTATCCATGTTTATCTTCTATTTCTGTGAATCATATTCACATTGCACTGCAATAAATTCGAAAGTTGCCACAAATGTAGATGCTGGATCATAATGTAATGTCCTCAGAGGTTGGTGTATGCAGTGCAGTTTATATGTGGATCAACTCATGCTGATCAATATTGAAAATTTTGAGAGATTTCTCTGTTCTCAAAAGAAAATTAGATGACTGGTTAAATTGATTGCCAAGAAAAATCAAGAGGGCAGTTTTATTTATGTTCGAATTAATTTATTGGTTTGTCTTCTTATGAAATCCAGATTATAAGGTTTAATTAAAATCCAACTTAAACCAAGATAGAAAGTCTTCCAATTTTTCAGATGTATTTAATGTAAAGACTGATACAAAGGTTTGAAACTTGTTTCCAGAAACATCTTATATAAATACAACAGCTTCAGCCCCCCTCATAAGAAGTGGTGGTTCTGGCAGTGAATCAGTGTATTCGCCTAAAGAGCCAGGTGGATTGGGTAATTCAAGATCATTATTTACATATGAAGAGTTAGTCAAGGCCACAGATGGATTTTCAGCTCAGAATCTTTTGGGTGAAGGTGGATTTGGCTCTGTCTACAAAGGTTATTTGCCAGACGGGAGAGAAGTAGCAATAAAGCAGCTAAAAATTGGTGGGGGGCAGGGCGAGCGAGAATTTAAGGCTGAGGTTGAGATTATTAGCCGTGTACACCATCGACATTTGGTTTCATTAGTGGGTTACTGCATTTCAGAGAGTCGAAGACTGCTTATATATGACTACGTCCCTAATAATACCCTTTATTTCCATCTTCATGGTAAAGAACTAACTGAGTTTTCATGCTAAAGATGATGACAATGGCCTAATATTCCTGAACATTGTGCTTCTTTGAATTGTAGGCGAAGGTAGACCAGTTCTAGACTGGGCAACACGTGTAAAAATTGCTGCTGGGGCAGCTCGTGGAATAGCTTATCTCCATGAGGACTGTAAGTATTTATTACTCTGTTTCTGTTTTTAATTGCTTTGTGCAACTTCATGTTGATTTGACCATGCATATTAGCATTTATTTAGACATATTGGTTTAAGATGAAGTATGAGTTGATCACCGGAAATTGCAGTTAGACTTCCCTTTCATCCCATTCAAGCTTGCAGAAAAACGTGCCATTATTGGCCTTCTCCTTATGATTTTCGTTGTCGAGGTGAATTCAGCTAACAGAATTGAGATGAAAATAACTATGACTACTCAAACCTGAACTAGTGGGTTAAAAGCAAGGAGGAATGTGGGAAGAACTATGAACTCAGATGTTCTAAGTTCGACTATGTTCTGGCTTCTCCAATAGTCCCAAACATGACCGATTGATACTTATTTGTGACATTTATGGACTAAATAATACTATTTCTCATACTTCTATCCATTTCCATAATTTATTATCTTTCTTTAAACTTCAAGTGCTTAATCTTCAGTTATCTCCACTCTGTTCAGAAAGTTTTATGAGAATAGAATGTTAGGTTGATCAAGATATATGCATCTCCTTTATAGCCATATGATGCTTCTTTCTGGTCAGAAACAAAAGAGCAAACCAAGGAACATATAAGCCAACTGATATTTCCTTTATAACTGTAATTACTTTTGGCACAAGATATGTTAACTTAGAATTTTTTATTGATGGAGTTCCTTCTTGGATTCTTCTTTGTTATTTATTTATCTTTCATGTCAGGTCATCCCCGTATTATTCACAGAGATATCAAGTCATCAAACATTCTTTTGGATGACAACTTTGAAGCTCAAGTATGCACAATTTATCTTTCTTCAAGCTATGTACTCTTACCATGTAAACTAGGTTTTACAATTTATGGTTTTTGATGTCACAGGTTTCAGACTTTGGGCTTGCCAAATTAGCTCTTGATGCAAATTCACACATCACCACACGTGTTATGGGAACTTTTGGGTAAGCACTAATCTATCATAACCTTGTGTTCACCAACATGTATATAAGACTTTTTTTTTTTTTTTTTTTCCTTTCTTTCTTTGAAGAGGAGGGAGGGGGGGTGGTTTGCATAATATGTGTATTTGTCTTAAATATGTCATTTTGTTGTTCAGGTACATGGCCCCTGAATATGCATCAAGTGGCAAGTTGACTGAGAAATCTGATGTATTCTCTTTTGGAGTTGTGCTTTTGGAGCTGATTACTGGCAGAAAGCCCGTGGATACTTCCCAACCAATGGGAGATGAGAGTCTGGTTGAGTGGGTAAATTTTTATTGATTACAAACTTGTCTCCAGTTGGCTGCCCTTTGTCAACAAATTTTTAACTCAATATTCTAAAGAGCACACCTTTTATTTTGGCATGCATGGATATTAGACTAAATATAAATAGATTAGGAGTTTTAAATACTAGTTTGATATATTATGAAAGAGGCTAACTTTAAATTTCTAAAAAACCCTGTTCCTTTTTATGTCTTGTACAGTTGAGTAATTGAAGGAGAAAAAAAATAGGGATTTGATTATTCTGAGAAAAAAAAATTTCGAACACTTTAGTCTTTTCAAATGAGGACAGGCATGATTACAGCGATCTTTATACACAGAAAATGTCTTGTCTAATTTTTATACATATCCACATAAATGCATGCTTTAAAGATGTTGCAGGAATAGATCATACTGCAGGATCATAGACGTGTGACGATGGACTGAGTGGAGAGAAATAATCATGTGCACTGGAGCAAATATTTATCTTTTAAGGGTTGACCTTTTCTGATCCAAGGTTATGTTATTTTCAGGCTCGACCATTGCTAAGTCAAGCACTTGATAATGAGGAATTTGACGGTTTGGCTGATCCAAAGCTTGGAAAAGACTATGTTGAAAGTGAAATGTTTCGGATGATTGAGGCTGCTGCAGCTTGTGTACGACATTCAGCTGCCAAGAGGCCACGTATGGGGCAGGTAATGAACTTTATTTTCCCATCTGAAAGTTCTTTTTGCTATTTTTTCTTTTAAAATGTGAGGATATGAGTTAGTCAGACACTTTCTTAGCGTGCTTATGCATCTCAGGTTGTCAGAGCTTTTGATAGTTTAGCTACTTCAGATCTAAGCAATGGAATGAGAGTTGGTGAAAGTGAGATTTATAACTCTGCACAACAATCTGAAGAAATTAGATGGTTTCGAAGGATGGCGTTTGGTAGTCAAAATTACAGTACTGATTTTTTTAGCCAGGTTAGCAGGGGTAGTTAAGAGGAATGGTAAATATTGGTGGAGAGTTGTATTCACATTTAAAGCATGAGGGTTTGCCTTGCCAAAATGGATCCATGTTCAAGTTGATATCTGCACAGACATAGCTCAGCTGAGAGCCTGAGGCATGGTAATGCCTCGGTCTCTTGAATTGACCCCATTTATGCATAGAGATTGATTTTTCAAACCCTCAACACTTGTAATTAGGTTCTTGAGCATCAACATATTACTGCAATTCTATGATCTTGTAATTACCCTTAGCAAATTTTTCGTACAACGTCATTTATGATGATAATAAAGTTATACAATTTTGTTCTATTTCTTTCTGTACCCAAGACTTCGAGTATTATGAGACAGCAATTGGTGTCAAACAAGAAACAGAAACCATAATATGTAACTACATGAGTGCAGAGAGTGCATTCCACATACTAAATAGAAAACAAACATAAATGCAGTAATTGATTCAATCTAATAATCTTGAAATGATACTGATGCAACATACTATGTTAAATTGATTAATTATATGATGTCTGGAAGTTCCAATATCGATATATTTTCCTGTTGGTACAAGCCAGTTCTATTTTAATGCCTTGTTGAGGCTTGAGTGTGGCGGTCATTACTCATTTGGATGATACCCACTGTTAATTTTCTATTTCTGTTCAAGTTGAAGGACCGATAGCAAGAACTCTAATATGCAAATCGTTTTGAAACTGAAGTCGTGAAGAAAAATATTTCAGATGCAGTAACTTTTTACCTATTCTAACAGGTAACCTTACGTTGACAGAAGGCTTGAAGTTATTCAGGAACTCTTCCAATTTCACAATGTGAATTAGAAATGAAGGAACCATTGGGACAGCTAATGATTCCTTAACGTCTAGTATTCTATTATATTTGATAGTCCCACTTGAAAGCTATTGATGCAACATGTGATTTGAGGTGAGGAGTAACTGCCACCTTTTTTTAATTTAGCTCTGCCACATATCATTCTTTTTTGCTTTACCCTTCATAATACCTCCCAAGAGGACAAGGAACCTATTCCTTAACAACACACAAATGACTTGGATAAACCATTTTACTTCTCCATCATTACGTCCTTCCTCATTCTTCATTCATGGCTATGGAGGATCGGAACATGCTTGCTGCAGATTGTGTTGTAATTTCTTGTTGCTGCCAATGCTTGATCCTTCAAATCATCTTCTTTGTCTTGCTCAAACTTCCGTGGAAGCTCATTCGAAAAGCAAAAGAATATGCTAAGATGAAGATTCGACGTACAAGGAAACAGGAGATAATTATCAAAACAATGAAGGGTCGATATGAAGATGAGTTTTTGCAATGTCATGGTGGTTCTGAGTTAACTATTCAAGTTGAAAGCTCTGGTTTAAGGTGTTGTCTGGAGGAAGTTGAGAAGGTGTTGGAGGAGTTTTCAGAGAAGGGAGAGTTTGCATTTGGAAGCTTTTGGGGCAGGGAGAAATCAAGCAGCTCATCAACAAATTTAGCCCAACAGGAATTTGAAATTAGTAACAGATTTGTACAGTTTGAATTTGTTGAAATAGCTGCTTCTTTAAGTTGTTCATTTCGTAGTTAATATGACAAATATAATAGCCATATTGACCTTGGTGAGATTACATTGATCAAAATATGCATAGAATTTCATTGCAGCAGGTATTATTATTGACAGATAATAATTGACGATCTGGTTAGGCTTTGCATTTTAGTTTACTTTACACAGTTAAGCTAAATTTTCATCTATAATAAGTTTTTTAATTAGACATTCATTATTATCTCTCATTAAAGTCCAATGTGAAATACAAGCAAATCAAAAGAGTTAACGACCTTTTCCCAATCAAATAATGGTTTAATGACACTTTTTCACCTACGATCTTTTAAAGAATCATTTTATTACTCAAATTTATAATTCGATTGCGAACAGAGAGCAAACTCGATCTAAGCTATTAGAGTTTTTGAAGAGGGAATACCTATGAGCCTTTTGATGGTGGGTTTTGGTGGTTAGGGTTAATCAGAATTTGACTTGGGATGAGCGGTTGTGCAAACTTTAATCGCTTGATTATCGGCGATTGGCAGAGTCGGCAGGAGTAAAGTTTGAGGGGTTTTGGTGAGTAATGATCGGGGAAGAGAATGATCGTGATGTGGGATCGCAATGATGCTAGAATCGAAAACGGAATATAAATTTGAGTAGTAAAATAGTATTTTAAAAGTCCGTGGATAGAAAAGTGTCATTAAACCATTTTTTTGGATAGGAAAAAGTCATTTACTCAAATCAAAATTCTAATTCTGATAGAATAAGCTGTTTCTGTTCATGGGTTAACATGTTTCTTTCAGAACCTAGTTAAATGTCTTCACTATTTACCATCACAAAATAGTGCAACAAACAATTATGTGAACTGATTTTCCTCATTGGCCATAACCATAGAATAGAACTGCAATTTACAAGGAGGTGAAGGTTGTTGCATGTGGAGCAACTTGTTTTTAACATCTGAATCCTGGTACTTAACGAATAATTGATGTGACAGATGGACAACCTTAATTTCAATCTACTAAATATAGAGACAATATTGCTAAAGTCAATTCCTTAAATCAAATGGCCTCCATCATCACCTCATTTGCCTCGAACTTTACAGAAATGTATATATATATATATATAGAGAGAGAGAGAGAGAGAGAGAGAGAGAAAACAAAACCACCCACCTCACCATTATTGCCCCTATCACACGCTAATATTAATTGTAACCCTTTCCCGACAATTCGACGCGCTTTGTCTTTGAACCATTCCGTAGTTTTTACCAGAAAGGCAAACTCGAGCCTCAGATCTTCAAAAACCACAAAAAATAAAAATTAACACTTTGTATTTATCGATCTTATTATCTTAATCACCAAAACAATTAGGAGTATGATGTCTGCCCTCCATTCCGATCAACTTAAACAACTCAAAGACATCTTCATGCGCTTCGATATGGATTCTGATGGCAGCCTCACGCAGCTTGAACTCGCTGCACTTTTACGTTCTTTAGGCCTCAAGCCAAGCGGTGATCAACTTCATGTTTTGTTATCCAATATGGACGCTAACGGGAATGGCTTTGTGGAGTTCGATGAATTGGTTTCTGCGATTTTGCCCAACATGAGTGAAGAGGTTTTGATCAACCAAGAACAGCTTTTGGAGGTTTTCAGGTCGTTTGATCGTGATGGTAATGGTTATATTACGGCCGCTGAGCTGGCGGGTTCCATGTCTAAAATGGGTCACCCTTTAACGTATCGTGAGCTTTCCGATATGATGAAAGAGGCTGATATTAATGGAGATGGTGTTATTAGTTTTAATGAATTTGCATCGGTTCTGGCCAAGTCTGCTGCTGATTTTCTAGGCCTTAAAGTTGCATAGGCGGGGTTAGGCGTTGATCATCCATTGTATAATTGCAATTATTATCCTGATTTGTCAAGCATATATCCTTTGTGATCATGGATGGTTTTGATATGAACCCCTCTTTTTGAGTTATTTTAATTTTTTTTTTTTTTCTTGATGGGTTTTTAATTTTGTTGTTTTTGAGGGGGTCATGTCTGGAATGGTGGGTAGGAGTTTTGAAGGAGCAGGAAGAGAAACTAAACAGCTCACCCTCAATTATTGTCTTTGATAGAGACATTAAGTTTAACAGATCTTGTATATTCTTTTTCTATATTCTATTAGTGTTTGGCTTTGACATTTATTCATAAAAATGACTATTTATCTACCAATATAGAAGAATATTCTGGTCTGTCATGCATAGTACCATATGTATTTCCAGATTGTATTATCATCCTTGTTTTCCTTGACAGAATTTCAGAATTACTTTTGTTTGGAATGCGAGGAAAACAGATGGAATGATTCAATTCTGATGGGTATATAGGCTGGATTTGCATATGATTTAGCCAGCTGGTATTGTTGCAGCATTTGCACAAAAACTCTAATGCAGAATTGAAACACAACAGTGACTAATTTCTTCCAGGATTTACATGAACAATGATATATAGTTCCATAATTTGTCACATTCATTGGTGGTAGTTATGGCTTCATTTCTTGTAAAGAGCAGTTCTTAGGAATTGGTTTCCCTATCAAATTGAATGAACNCTGTCATGCATAGTACCATATGTATTTCCAGCTTGTATTATCATCCTTGTTTTCCTTGACAGAATTTCAGAATTACTTTTGTTTGGAATGCGAGGAAAACAGATGGAATGATTCAATTCTGATGGGTATATAGGCTGGATTTGCATATGATTTAGCCAGCTGGTATTGTTGCAGCATTTGCACAAAAACTCTAATGCAGAATTGAAACACAACAGTGACTAATTTCTTCCAGGATTTACATGAACAATGATATATAGTTTCATAATTTGTCACATTCATTGGTGGTAGTTATGGCTTCATTTCTTGTAAAGAGCAGTTCTTAGGAATTGGTTTCCCTATCAAATTGAATGAACGTAAGTAAACAAGTTAGACGACATAATTTATACACGTGAAAAGTGAATCATCATTAATTTTTCTCGTCTCTTTCACGGGACTGAAATAGTATACACTACAATGCACAATCAGTTTTTGTTCCTAAATACTAATGCTAAAGGTGAGGAAATGAAGCAAATGTTTGCTTTCCCGAGAAACAAGGATTAACCAAGTTGAACACAAATAGAGAATGGAAAGGTACCACTGTACCAGTATACAACACAATGAACATCATAAGGAGAGAGGCTATATTTTCTTTCATATACAAAACATCTGAGACTATCCAAATAGAATAAAAACTCCTCTTATTCAACTTTTCTAAGCATATTTCTTCCGAAATAACACAATATATAACAAAAAATTTAAAAAGGTCAAAAAAGACGCAGGTTATAAACTTACCAAGAATAAAAAATCTATAGATATTTAGGAAGTCCAAGATATGGTACAGCTGCATACGGCCATTGAATAGTCGTATTACGTTCTGAGAGGGAATACTTTCTAGCGGGAAGAATCCAATCCCCTGTGTTACAGTATAGTCAATTTGGGCAGACCTATACAACCCAATTTTGATGACAGGCTCCATATTCAAAAGTATCATACTTCATGCCTGGTTTGTGTGGTTCTGCTTTCTGTCCCTACTGCAACTAGTTCATGGCTTGTGTTTCTTCGATTTCTATCCCTAATGCGACTAGTTCTTGCCGCAAGACGTGCTGTAAAACCTACTGTTGTCGGCCGCAATGATCTCTGCCTCACCATCTCGCAGTACTCAGGGTCATTTGTTTTTCCCTCATTCCTCATCCACTGTATCATTTCATGATACATGGGAAAGAACCTCGTCTGAACTGCTACATACGAAAAGTAAGGGATTAAGGACACGATCACCACAAAAAGTGTGACAAGCCAGTAAGAAGGAGTAGGTGCAAGCGCTTCAACAAAGACTTTGTATGCATTGGTAGACTGAATTGGAGATGAGTTCCCATACATAAACATGAAGAAGTACCAGAGAACAATAGAAGTCCACATGGCAAGATGATGGAAAAAGGTTAAGTATTTCATTGCCATTGCCCACTGCAGGTTCACAACCCATACGATGCATGTATACATTGTAGCACCAAAAATATCACTTCCAGCTGTGTTTCCATCACTATTAAAGGCCTGATGCTGCAGTGCTTTTGCACAGAAGAAGAAAATCATTGTGCCACTGAGAACCCCGTTTAACATCCAGCCAATTATCCTCTTCCAGCTGAAGAGAACATTTTGCACCCCTTCTTGGTATAATACAGGGAACTGCCATATAAAACAGAACAAAAGATGAGCAATCATCACAAAAGCTTTTGGTAAGAACACCAGAACGTTAAAAACAGAGGGTGCAGAAAGGTTATTTCAGACAGCCATGGGGGCTCTAGGTGTTTTTCTCTGCCATAAAAGTGGCCATTCCCATCATAGCATATGCGGTTCTTTCACCTTTTTAACATATAATAGTCAGATCTATCCCCAAAATTGATTTGAAGTGCTTCCTTACTATTCCACTCCAAAAAAATTTCAAAGTGAAATTTCTGAGCTGTTGTGAAGTTATGGTATTCTATAATACCCTCTCGAATCTAAAATTTGAAAAATCAAACTAATACATATTTACTGTTGCTCGGATATTTGTTATAGCTTATTAGATTTCCTCTGTTTCTCAGATTGTAATGGAGAAGTTAATAAACAATGGCCACTAACCACTTCTATAAAACCAAACGAGAGAGCCCCTATAAGGTCTTCACAAGCGACTTGTGTAAAATTTAAAGCAAACCCAAGGGAGTTAAGAAACAATTAACTCAGCCAAATTGTAGGATCAAGCATACAAGCTAGCAGATGATCTTCTATCACATAACATGAAATGAAAATGAAACAGAAAATTTAATCAAAACGGACATTAAAGATTCCATAAAATTTAGATGGTTAGCTTACCTTGAGACAAGATGCCGCGGATACATCTTGTTCAAAAATACCCATAATAGTTACCGGACTTGAAGAGAACAACATGTTATAGAGTGACAAATACCAATCATTGAATGCAGGTTGCCCTGAGAATGATGTGTGTGCTTCATACAAGAACAAACAGAAACCAAATACGATGTTCTTGTAGAAGAAATAGCAAATCTGCCAACAAAAGAAGACACATATCAATTTAACAGTTATGAAGCTGCAACTCGTGAAGATTTCAAAATCTTCACAATTCTCTTATAATATTGCACTCTCAATTAATTGTTGGGGTAAAAAACGTTGATGTTGGAAACTAATATGTAAAATCTTGAGCTATTAATATATGAGTTTTGTTACCATTGTTGAGATCCTTCTATAACACCAATGTCCATGTACAAGTAGCAAGCGCTCCAGATATCGGAACTGAGCTATGGCAACATCGCTTGACATGACAGCCTGAATTGAAAAAAAAAAACCATAAAAAGAGTTCATAAACAATGAGAAATACAGCTACAGATGAATTTTACATTCATCAACCATAAATGTATTATAATCTGATGAGTACCTGCATGCCTTCAACACCACTGATTCCAACCCCAACATCTGCTTCTTGAAGCATTCCCACATCATTGGCACCATCACCAACAGCTAAAGTAACTTTACCACTACCAGTTTTAACTAGTCTTGTAACCTGAGTTTTTAAATTTCATTGTTCAAATGAATTTATTCCTTAAATTGAAGAATACAACATTTCAGAAGCCCAAATAAAAATAAACTAGGAATGGAGGGGATAATCATTTCAATAATATTAACTCACCAATGCCTTCTGTCTTGGTGATGAGCGACAGCAAATAACGGATGCACAACCAATTGCAAGCTCCAAGAACATATTTTTCATATCATCCTCAAGAGCATAAGTCAGAGATTTCCCATCAATTATCAATGCAAATGCCCCAGAGCTCCCACCTGATGCAGTGAGCTGAGCCTTCCCCATAGTTATCTGACTGAGAACACTTTGCTTTGATGCCTAAAAGGAAAGTCCATAAACCCCATTAGTCTCATATCTATAACTCTCAGTCAATTTAGATACCCCAACCTTACTGGGTTATTTACAGAAACATAAAACCTGTCCTTATATGTCAGCCTAATGACTAGCATGAGAAATAACGGCTACAATTATTCTAGTTATACATTCATAAGAAAATCACTCTATATCAAAGCCATCTCCTTCCATCATTAATAGATAAGAAGATGCAGCAATAACACCAAAGAGGGGCAGCAGAGAGAAGTTTACTGTAGTTAACAATGAATAAAAAATTTAATGCTCACAAAAGACCTAGTAGGGACTGGCAGAATTCAAGTTGTGGGTGCTATCAACCATTAGGAAAGCCAAAAAAGATATCCTGAGATGCATTAAGCGAAAATGTGACAACTAGTGAATCCAATAAAATTATTTGTTTTATGGGGTAAAGTTGATGAAAGGCAAAAAAGGAAATGAGTCACATACTAGGATTTCTCATATGTTGGCATCAAATTAAGTTAAGAAACAACAAAGTTGAATTAGTCACACACTATTTTTCATATAGTTGCAACAGAAATTGTTCATTCCATAGTCACGTAAATCTCAAGAGTATCTTCAGGGGCTTTTGATGATAAAGGGCCCATTAATTGTTACCTTGATCATCAAACTATAAATTTCTAAACAAGTGAAAAATCTCCAAAAAGAATATTGAGAAAAGAAAATCCCAGAAAGTCTGGAAGTAATTCTACCTTGGAGAGTGCAGACTTTTCTCCTGCTTTTTCCAAAGCTTTGATTTCAGGAGTTTCCAAATTAATTATGATCTGCTTCATTCCTTGTCTAAGCAAACTACAAGAATAACTGCAAATTGTTTTCTCTTAGTTTGAGACCTTCAAAAGTGATAAGGAATTAACCTCAACTTAGAGCATTAACATTGACAGTCATGCACAAATCATACCCGATATTGATGGCAGTCTCCATCTTGTCTCCAGTCAATACCCAGATCTTGATTCCAGCTTGAGCAAGCTTGTCAATGCATTCTGGGACCTGAGGTGCACAAAAGGAAACCAAAAAACAATTCATTTCAAGTCTCCATTTCCTATCCCTGAAAGGTTCAAACAAATGATAATCCTTTAGAATTTTCTGACTCACCCCATTTTGGAGTTTGTCCTCTACAGCTGTTGCACCAAGAAGAACTAGATCCTTCTCAACCGTCTCTGTTACTTCATCAAGCAATGTTTCACGATTTGCACTAACTGAATTCTTGGCCTCCCTGAATTTCTGATCAAACACTTTGTATTCTTCCTCATCAAGTTCACGATATGCAAGAATCAGTGTCCTTAGTCCTGCATCAGCATATTCATTCACATGGTCCCGGGTCTCATCCTCAAAACTACTACCATCTTTGGCAAGCCTTTCAAACATGACACTGTCAGCACCTTTAGAAAGTATTAGTAGCTTTCCCTCCTCATCTCTTACTATCACAGACATCCGCTTTCTTGTGCTGTTAAATTCTAAAACATTCAACAGCTTATACAACCTGCAAAAGAACAGAAATAGAAATAACTAATTCAATACCTCAGCAGGACTTTAAGAAAGGTAACCATGTTTTCATGCATGGAAAGACAAACACACAGATAGACTAGCAAGACTGGAAGAATATTTAACCCTGTTTTTCTGTTCACCTGGCAATGCTTATCAAGCGTATCATAAAAACCCAAATGTATCATGGAGATGTTACAAAGAGTTTCAACTTAGGACACCAGACCTTCAGAAGTGAGCAGTACGGGTGGGAGAATACAGCCTTAACCACACAACACTTAAATTTTGTTTGGTACAGTCAAAGCTGATTGTGCTAGCATGGACAAGAAAACCACTAAAGTGGTAGCTCTATCAGAAGCAAGACTGAGCAAGAGATAGCCATTGCTCTTTGAATTTGGTTTACATTAATCATGAAGATAAACTTTTATGGTTATGTTAGTAGCAAGTTGATTCAAATTCAAACAAAGTGCATATATGCATTCCAAAAGCAGTATAAGAGGTTAGTATGCATGATTTCTTAACACTAGCAATTCCTTTCTAATTTATTCAAGACATGACTAGAAACACTGACCTGTCAACTTTCTTGCCAGAAACCAGATCCAACTCACGCACCGAGACGCTTGTCTGCGTCCTTTTGTAAAATTCGAATCCAAGCTCTCTTGCTGCAATCACAAAAGCTGCTTCATCTGGTGATTCAGCTTCATATGAAACCTTACCAGTACTTTCATTCACTTCAGGTATGGCAGTATGACAGACTGCCAATAAACGAAAAAACTTCTGGATAACATCTGAATGAGACTGATTAACCCAGTTCCCATTCATTATCCTTTCATCTTTGAAATTGAAGCCTTTGATGGACGATTTTGACTCGGTAGAATCCTCCACGTGGTTCACACCATTTAGCTTTCCATTAACAAATCGTGAACCTTTTTTTCTATCCATGGCTTTCTCAACCTCTGTAACACCACGGCCATAAGCTGTTCCAGCCACAGAACACTTGATGAACTCCATTGAATTGCAGGTCAATGTTCCAGTCTTATCAGAAAGTATTGTATCAACTTGGCCAAGTTCCTCATTCAAATTTGAGGTACGTGCATGTGCTGGTTTGTCCGACTCCTCATGGTACATTTGAATGTCTTGATTTATAAAGATGCACTGAAGAACTTTGACAACTTCTATCGACACATACAAGGAGATAGGAATGAAATAACTATACAACATTAGGGCCGTCAGAAAGTGATAAATTGATGCAAATGTTACTCTTTTAGGGTCGAAGAAAATTGTAGAACGATCAGGTCTAAGATACCACCTTTTCATCTTCTCGCCTTCCAAGTCTTCATCAGTTGCAATGCCAAAGAATACAGAACCAACAAATGCCATCAAAAACACAACAAAAAACATGAAGTAGATGACTCGATCCATCTTCTTCTCAATTTTGCTTCTCTTTGAAGGGGGATCAGTAGCATTTTGCATAACCTTTGTATCATGACCAGTGAAGATAACAACACCATATATGTAGTCTGTATTTCTGAGTTTTGAGTCTCTAAGGAGGAGTTGTTGAGGAGTAAGGGGGTGGTGTTGCTCTTCGAATTCCATAGCTCCAACGAAGGAGTACAAATTTGCATTTGGGTCTTCACATTTGATGATGGCCTTAAAATCCCGGAAGTCAGAGTCCTCATGTAAGAATGAAGTTACCTCCAATGCTTGTTTTAGTTTCAAATTTGTCTCTCCATCAAGATTCATGGTCTCAACGTAGCAGACTGCATCTTCGTAACTGGATGAAAGCAACATGAGGTCTGCAGGAAAGAATTCATCTTTCTCTACCTTCACTATGTCTCCCACTCTCAGAGTCCTCCATTTAGTATAAACAAAAGTTCCATCACGTTGAAGCACTTTAACCTTTCTATTATTCACTTCAATATCCTGAAAAAAGTTCATAAGCAATATTATAAATCAAGCTAAAATATAAATATATCTACAAGTTTTTCAAATAAGTTGACAAGTGAATCGATGCCCAAATACTCATAGAACAGGCTATAAAATGTAGCTAGCAGCAGTAAATTGGGTAGTCTCTGCTGCAATAGGAAACAATTAGCCATTCCATGTTTCTATTTCTGAAAGCATATTAGTTTCAATATGGTGGTGTAGTACAAATTCTTAATCACAGAATTCCTAAGAACCCAAAACAAATGGTATGTTTAATTATATTCTTTGTATGAAAAATCATCTACGTTAAAGCTACTTTAAGTGCAAAGAATCAAAATAAATGAGCTGAACTAATACATATCCTCCCCAGAGCATGAATTAAGATAAAAAAGCGCTTTACATTCAACCATGAAATAGAGACAATTCAAGAAAAAAAAAAAAATCAAATGAAGGGAAATTTTTTAAATTTCTTCTCTAGATTTTAGCTTCCTTAAAAGACCTAGTGAATAACAGCATAAGGCTATTTCGGTCCCCAGTGTACTCAACCAAACCGATCGGAAACTTCTCCTTACAAAAGCTCCCCATATACTACGCAGTTAAAATGAACAAAAAAGCTCAAAAATTAATTGAACACACAAAAGCAAGAACTAATGAACAGACCAGCAGACCCAGAAAATTAATAATAAAAAAAAATACCTGTTTGGTTCGCTGCCAATCTTCGACACCCTCTTTCACCATTGTTGCTCCAATCACAATAGTTAGGGGAATAACAGCACTTACAGCTGTGTAAGGAGCAAGTTCAGTGAAAGCCAATATGCCAGTAACCAAGAAGTAAAAATTGGCAACTCTCCTGAACTGCTCAAACAATGATTTGGGCAAGAACGTGGCAATAGTATACTTGGTAGTCTTAACATAATTAGTGCAGTATTTTCTTTCTTCAGCCTCAAGACAATCAGGCTCATTACAGTCCACCACTCTTGAAAATCCTGGTCCCCCTATCTGTGAATGATCTTCTTGCAAAGATGCCTTTCCACATGCATATGCATAGATTTTACTCAAACGCAACTTTTTCCTTCTACCGCCGGCCATTACTCAATGCTACAACAGTATATAAAAAAAAAGGACTACACAATTTGTTCTCTTCAAAAGAAAATCTGACAAATGAATGCCGCCCTCTTGAAGAGAAATTACTCAGAGAAAATACCCAGAAACCAAACTTTCCAAAGTTTAAATATTTTAACAATCGAAGAGAATGAAAAAGTTAAGTTACAAGACCCGCCAGATTAACTCTCAGCTAAAACATAGGAAATAAAAAAGTAAAGGCTTTAACACAATAAAGAACTGACGTGATTCAGACAAGGGAAACACACAGCTTTTAACACATGAAACAAAGCCTTTAACAACTTATAATTTTTGACACAAGAGCAAAAGTGTCAAACAAGTCTGTCACTTAAAAGTGTTTGAAGATGAACAAGAACTGGGCTTGTCTGAACCGTTAAAGTAACCCCATATATATATAAATGTATATGTGAAATAAAATTAAATGCGAGACGACGAATATTCGCCGGTTTGATTTTTTTCTCCAAAAAACCTTCAAGGCTTGAACAAAGACTTGGATTGGATCTCCACGCTTTGACTTTGAAAGAACACGCGCATTTGCGTTTAAATCACAGCAAAATAACATTAATAATTTTTTTCTGAGAAAACGAGAGAAAATTATTTATTCTGAAAAATGGAAAGAAAAAAAATTATGGAAATGGGAGGAACTCAAAAAGAAAAAATTTCTGAGAGACAAGTCTGAGATTCTAGAAAACGAGATGGAATTTTCGTGGAAAATAAAGAGTTTATGTAATTTCGCGGGAAAACAGGTTCCTGAAATCATCAACAAAGACTGTTGTTTTGTGTTGTTTCTGAGTCTTGGTCTTCTCTCTCAAACGAACAAAAGTTTCGTGGAAAGTAAAGACAAATTAATTATGTTAGGTTTATTTCTTATTAATTAATTAATTTTGATTAAGATATGTACTTGTCTGTATATAGTTTTTATCAAATTATATACATTAATAATGTGATTATCAGTGGTTAATCAGAATGTTTGTCTGTTAGCGAAAGCCAAGTAATTAGCCAATTAGGGTGAATTTTGTTGTGAAAATGAAATTTAAAAAAAAAAAAAAAAAATTAATTATAAATGTTTTAACAGATAATTTGGTTTTGGTTACGATGATCCAAATATCCGCCGTCTTGCCGGGGAAGGGACACGGTCAAAATATTACATAGTAACATCACCTTGTTCTAATTTCATTTTTTTATTTTATTTTTAATTTAATGTCATTACATCACAACGAATTATTTTAGTTAGTTTTTAATTACTTAAATTCGGTTCATGAAACTGTGAAGTAAAGTTTTAGATTGACTTAAGTTAAACAAATCATTGAAATCATCTTCTAAATTTGGGAATAAATTAATATTTTCTCACTAAACAATATAAATTCTAGAAGATCTTGTTATTAACTTGCAAGAAAATTCCTTTGATTTTCTTTAAAATTTTAATAAATATTTATTAAAACCCCTTTTTAAACTACCAAATTAGATCTTTAAATTTAAGTCTAGGATATTCTTTTCTTTTTTTAAAAAAAAAAACATTTCTTATTTAAATTTAAAAAAAAAATCTTAATTACATTTTTATACCATTTTAAATACCATAACGAATTATAAAATAAAAATAAAAATAAAGAATCTACCTTTTTCATTGTTGCTCTAGTAAAATTTGTTGCTTTTTGACTCGGTGGGGGGGAAGGAATCAATCATGGAATTATAGAAAGCTTTCTATGCATGAGATGGAATACAATTCTGTGCTTCGGGCGGGACTGAGACGTCATTAACCAAAAACGATTCCCCAACCGAGGAACCATATTCATGGATTCTAAATATAGGGATTCCTGTTTTTATTATTATTTTCATTAATATGTTGCCCAATATTCTCATTTTTATTTTAGAAAAAACAGTATTTTTGGAAATTATAGTTTTAATAGTAGATGCTCCATGGATTCTGTCATGCGTACATAAAATAACGTGATTAATAACAATTTACCCCCAAACTATGTATAAAATGATAAATACCAAACCTTTGGAGTTTACCTAACAAGGAAAGGTTACTGATTTAAAAAAAAAAAAAAGAAGTCCAACGAAGCAGAGAGCACGTGTGAAAAGGGGACAAGTGTCAAACAATGAACAATCTGATTGCGAATAAAGTTGCAGTCCGTGAAAGAAACGAAGCAGAGTAAATATGACGCCAGTCAGACTCCTTGTTACTAAATGTGAATAATTAAATATTTTTATTTTAATATTCCAAAACCCAGGATAAGTTTAGTGACGGAGTTGCTTTATGGAATTTTATATAGAAACTCTTTTTTTGGTTATTCATTTATTCTCTCCTAATAGTATTTGTCATTAAAATTTGAAATTAAAAAATGTCAAAAATGATTTGTAACATTATCCACCCAACTACAAAATACAAATACGTAAAAGTATGGAAGACTTACAGCGTAAAAGTGTGAAGATGGTAAATGCCAACTTATTAAAAGGGGGGGAGAATTGACTTAGCTGAGCAGCCAGAAATTCAACTTTTCTAGAACATAAATATCATCCCTGCTTATAACTCAATTTCCGCCTAAATTTCTTTTATCAAAAATTTTAATTTTTTATTTATTTTTTGGGTTAATCCAATGTTTAAATCCATAATTTCCTTATGGACATTGACATTAATTAATAGGGGCTACCAACTAATAATAATAACAAAAAATAAAAATAAAAAAAAATCCAACCAAAGTTATTTACGTCAAAAACTATTAAATTTTTACCTTTTAATGATAATTTGTTAATAAATCGTGGTTTAGATTTTTTAAATAGTGTGGACGTTGCATATGGGTACTCAAGAGTAACTATCGAAACTCATCTTCATTTTCTAAATTAGAAGTTAACGATATCGTTAACAATGATATATTTTGTATTTTCTTTATTTAAGAAAATTAAGGATTCTAGAGGCGTAAGACTTTTATGCAACTGGTAAGAAAATTGATAAATTTTATAAATATCAAATTAAAAAAAAAAAAAAAAAAAATTTGAGAGAAGGTTGGTTGATTTTGATAGCCATTTGCATTTCTAGAAGTAGAGGGTGTTTGGACTTTGGAGGTTGATATCTAGAAGAAGAGTGTTATATGGCAATAAGAGTATTTATGGCTAGTTTTGTTTTAAAGAAAAGGCTTATTCCAAGTGATGAATTGGTCATTGAAAGATGCCCAACTCACTTGGAAACAAGAACAACAAAGTTGATTTAAGAAAATTCAATGTCAAGGACGTAGTTTCAATCTCTTTGTTGTGTGTACTTTGCTCGTTTCTTAGAAGCAGGACCACCCACACCCACACCCACACCCACTTACAAAAAATCCAAATAACTTGACCCGTTTATGCAATTACACATGTACAGATACTGACAGTGAGAGGTAATTGATTTGAGGGCAACCATGGAATTCAGATATATCATTAAACGTGTGTTGTTGCTCAGATTGTGGATTTGGATATTTAATTTTGAAATCACTTGATTAACATGTCGGGCCCTTAAAAGGCATAATTATTTAATTAATTTGGACAAAAACTCAACAGAGTAGGCAGAAAGACTTGGGCATTTTGTGAATAATCCAATCTAATTATGGTGTGTACTTGTGACATGTAAAAGGCTTAAAAATTGTGTAATTGCAAATTTGCATGGTATGGTTGGTGGAGGTGACATCAAAGTGTGTGTGATTAATTAGAAGCAAACATAAAATGACAAAACTTTTATTTTTTTTAAAATGACAAAGACAAAATGGATTTGTTATATGATTACGAGTACTGTATATTTGTTTACAATATCCATGAGTTGGCAATTGGCAATTAGAATCTAAACTCCAGCCCCACGTTTGAGATTTTAATCATATAAGGAAAGAAAATATCAACCACCCGGCTTGTAACCGAGTGATAAGATTCTGGGTTATCCAGAGATTTTATGTTCGAGTCCCATGTTTGAGATTTTGATCATATAAGGAAAGGAAAATATCAACCATCCGGCTTGTAACCGAGTACAAGATTCTGGGTTATCTTGAGATTTTATGTTCAAGTTACACAAAATAACCATCTATCACATTTGTGACTTATTTAGCCCATTGGCCCCCGGGATAAGGAAAGTATTTAGGGGATGTTTGTCTAAGCTTATAAGCTGGTCAAACGAGCTTATAAGCTCTAAAATTAAGCTGACATATTTGTTTATAACTTTTTTGAGCTTATAAGCAAAAAAAAAAAAAAAAAAAACCAACTTACTTTCTTTTTTTTGCTTATAAGCTAGTTTGACCAAGTATATTCCAACATTATTCTTGTTTAATTTTAAAATTCCATACTATACACTTGTTTAATATAGTACCCTTTTTAATAATTCTATAATAAAATGTACTTATAAGTCACATTTTACCAAACACGTCAACTACTTATCAGTTACTTATAAGTATTTTAACCAAACACGTAATTGCTTAAAATTTCAAATGTTTATAAGCACTATTGTTTATAAGCTAATTTTCATAAGCTCAGACAAACACCCTTAAACCAGTACTAGTTATATTGACTTTATTAAACTATGTTAATGTGAATAATAACTTGCAATAATGAATTAATATACTATACATCAATAACTTACAATAATGAATTAATATAGTTAAATAAGAAATTTGATACTTTATTCATATTAATATAGTAGGAAAGTTATAATTAAAATTTTGGAATGAGTTTATTTATTTATTTTAATCTGATTAGTTTAATCTTGAATTAATTAAAAATATTAGTTATAGAGTGTAGAGTTGAAGGATTAGGAATGGGTAGTTGTGTTAATATTATTATGTTATGTCTAGTATGCGTATGTGTAGTGTGTGGAGAAAATTTAATTTATTTAATTTGGTTAGGCTTAATGTGACACTAGTTGATATAGAAATCTTACTCCATGACTGAAATGTTAAAAGGGGTGTAAATTTAGACTATAAAGTAAAAAACTCTTATTAATGTCAAATATCAAAGGTTTGTGACTTAATTAAGTAACTTAATCTATACTTAGAAAGATGATTATAAGCTTTCAAACATCATACTATATATATCTCATCAAAATTGTCAACTGGTGATACTGCTACCATTTTTTTAATATATTTTTTTATGGCCAACTACCTCCACTTATAAATTATTATACATATATTAAAAAAAAAAAAAAAATCAACTATGGGTTGCTTACCTTATTCAATACATAATGGGATTTTTTATTATATATTTTCATATAAACAGAAGCAATGGAGTATGAAAGTAAAGTGATAGTTTTGGATAGAAACATGATATTGTATGAAATAAAATGGATAGCTTTTGCCATTTGCCCAAATATAATAAGTGAAACCTCACCTCGATTAAAAAAACAGCTGCTTAGAATAACACCAAGATAACAATTGTTAAACAATGAAAGTTGCTTTCTCGAATTGTACGACGTGTATGTATCTCTTTATTATCATATATGTACATGATTGTTACGTATATCCTTATGTATGGGACGATGTATTCCTATAGCAATTATAATGACCAATTCATCCTATATAAATAATCAGCTTCAAGTAATGAAGCATTGAGTAATATTATTATGTCTCAATAGGAATGAAATTTACTTTCAATGAGCGTAAATCTGAATTCAACAATTAGCGGAATAGAGCGAAAAAGTCAGCAACAAGAACATCATATTTGACCCGCCAAAGACTAACTGCAGGTTTAAGAGTTTCATCATCTGGATGCTCCAAGTCTACACCGGATAATAAGACCCATACTTTTCATCCATTCGTTTACTTTGATTCACAGATACATT